AAATTCTTTCTCGGTCAAAAGGTCAACCTTTTCCTCAATAAAATATTCTAAGGGCATTTTAGTCTTTTCCTCTAATAAATTAATAATTAAATATTAATTTTAGGTTTGGGTTGTTACAATCTTCCCCCCTTATAAAATTTCATCCTCGAAATTTACTTTCCCTCTAACGGAGGGGGTGAGGGTACTGGACCCACAACCGCTACTCGTTTGCAACTATAAGTCTGAGTATCTGTATCTATAATTTGAATAATAAAATCCGAGAGCAACCTGTTTATATCTGTATATCCTCAACTTTTCGAGTGATGGGTATTAAGCCTACATCTGTTATCCGGGGTTCTCAAGTCTGTCCCTCTAGTACTGTACTCACTACTTGCATCTCAATAACTGTATCTATAGGGTAATCAATAAAATCTGAGGGCCATACATTTATATTTGAATACCTGAGTGGCTTAAGAAAATATATAAAAACTCTCTGAAATCTCTGGTAATACTGAATTCTGTTAAATCTAGCACTTTGCTGTATTACTCTGATACTTAACTAAAAATCCCCTTCTTCCTCTGAGTGTCTGACACCTAGCTAATGCTGGTCATAAAAGACTAATTTGCCCTTTTTAACTGAAATTATCTGAAATTCAAGTGTGACTTCTACCGAAAATTCAGCAGAATCTCCCCTGTAAACTGAACATTTCCCAAAAACATTTTATCTGTAAAACAAGTATGTATATTTATATAACTCATCTGCCAGTATGCATTAAATCATATCCAAGCAATCAAACATCATAATATTTTGGCATCAGGCCACAACAATTCAAATAATTCGATCTACTAATGAAATTCATGTCAACTTTTAGATTAGCAATGATACTCTGACAATCTCAAACATCCTGACTCATGCATTCTTACTTATGCACGACTTATCAAATAGTAATTCTGCTGAAAAACACTGAATGTAAAACTCATCATGTTCTGTAATCCTAGCTGGACTCAAGAGACATCTGGTTAACCTGATCCGCAATTCTGGCTCCCACGGTCTGAATAACTGTAAGATTCGTGGAGCAAAATATGCTAGAAATACTTGAACTGTTTAATATCATAACCAACAATAAAAATTACAGTCAACAATTTAAGTAACATAAAATAAGATAAATTAAAGCACCCTGGATGAAAATAAAATGAAATAAACAAACTTTGAATAAACTTGCATCGAACTCATTTAAAATTCATAAGTAACCATGCGTGTGTATATATACATATATAGATGTAATGCTTAAGAAAATAATGGTAACTGTATAAAATCCTCTCCACCTAGGCGTACCCCCATATCTGATCCATCAATTCCTAATATTCCGTCAATTCCTGTTATCCGTCAATTCCTCTGGCAGGTCTCGGTGACACAAAGTCAACCCGAGCCGCAACTGGCAGGAATCAGGGGACCGTAGTCAGCCTGATCTGCAACATG